GTGTTCTAAAGGGAAACCCCTGGGCCACATGCCAGGGTTGCCGAAGAAGCGATACGGGTTGAATAATTTTTGCCTAAAGTTGTTATTCTAAGTTCAAACTTTTTCAAATTGAAAAGGAAGAATACAGTTTTGAAAAAGTTAAAACTGCTGAACATTCAGCTATATTGTTGAAATTGTTTTAGCAATAAACAGTTAAATTTTCTTACTGAGTGTCGCTTCCTTCGGCCCTTCTACGATAGCACAAACCACTTGTTGTGTTTGTGAAGTCAAACTGTGAGAGCCCTCGACCTAAAAAAGTCCCGCCTTCAATTTTCAAAGAATGAAAAATATATTATGTAGTGCTCTGAACGTAATCTATGCACTTAGCATAATGAAAGGTACAAGAAATTAAAAATCTTCTTAATTCTCTTATTTCTTTGATTTACAGACACTAATTTTCAATTTGCCCCTCTCTAATATTCAAAGAAGAAAAAGTATAGTGATATTCCCACCATATGGTTTGTTATCATCATCGGTGTCATAGATCCATTTGGCTCCGTTCTTAATCGCATAGAGGTAACCAATATTTTTTCTAGTATAAGAGTTTTCTGGAGAAACCGACAGCAAACGAAAACCTAAATAGGCATGTGAGATTTTTTTGGTTAATGAAAATGAGAAGTGTTTTTCAACAAGAATGGAGAGCTTAATGTTGCAGAGATCTTTGGAAGAATTATATAATACCTAAAGCAAAGGAAGAATTCACGAAGGAATAAATACATTCAAATCCATTCAAATCAGGGCCAAACCCTCCCTCTCACCTTCTCCTTCTTGAGCACCTTTTTTCATGCTGCTTGTATAGTATTTTCCAGTCAACTTGATTCTCCTCTCTCTCCCTTACTCCCCCCTTCCTCACTTCTGAATACAAACCGTTGCGGCTGTCGCAAGCCTTGCTTGACTTACGAATCAAAACAAACTCATTTAAGATGTGGGCAGGATTTATCAATTTATCTATTTAATTATATTCAAAATGCCTAGAAAACCGTAACAAATCAGAACTTGAAACTGACAAGCCAAAATGCCTTTACTAGTTACTGGTGCACTTAAAATCTACGTCAGCTGGAAA